AGTCCAACCTTTTAAATGATTTTTTCATCCGTTTAGTCCGCTACCAGTTGACAGTTGGTTGCAAAACGAGCATAGGATCAATGCCATTTCCATTGTACTTATTCTTTTAATTCCCGAGATTTCTGTGAAATATTGAGATGTTACTATAATTTATGCATTTTTATTGTTTTTTTAACCATTCGAAAGCTCAGTCAAGGGATTTTTAATCTCATTTTACTGTTATAACGGAGATATCAACATTTTAAAATTGTGAGTTTCTTAACTTGCGGCTTAAGAATTCACTCTGTCGTAGCAATTGCTGGACGATTAAGGGAAATTCGAGTTTCATGGGAGTATCTAAAATAAAAGAATTATCTAAATGGGAATATGATGGCTTCCATACCTCCAAGAATGTTTCAATCAGCAAAAAAAATTATTTGAAGTCAAAATAACAAAACAAAGAATATTTAAATTAAGAAATAGTTGAATGCAGTCGAAAACCCTAATCTCTGGACTGGGCCATTTTTTTTTATTTATTAAATGTCGATCAACAGAAAAAATAATTGATCACATGATTATCCACGAGTAATATTATTGAAAAATTAAATAATCAGGACGATTTTCATTTTATTATTTATGGAGTATTCAATGGAAGTAAAAATCGTCCAGAAACTAGCCCCCGTCCAGTAACTGACCTGTTTACGCTATATCTCGAGACAGAAAATTATATTTTATTACGCATTTTTATTGTTTTTTATCCATCCTAAATTTCAGTCAAGGGATTTTTAATCCTATTTTACTATTATAACGGAGATATCAACATTTTAAAATTGTGAGTTTCGTAAATTGCGGCTTAAAAATTCACTCTGTTGTAGCACCACTAGGGTGAACAGGCCAATTGCTGGACGGTTAAGAGAAATTCGAGTTTCATGGGAGTATCTAAAATAAAAGAATTATCTAAATGGGAATATGATGGCTTCCATACCTTCAAGAATGTTTTAATCAGCCAAAAAAATTATTTGAAGTCAAAATAAGAAAACAAAGAATATTTTAATTAAGAAATAGTTGAATTCAGCCGAAACNAAATTGTGAGTTTCTTAACTTGCGGCTTAAGAATTCACTCTGTCGTAGCAATTGCTGGACGATTAAGGGAAATTCGAGTTTCATGGGAGTATCTAAAATAAAAGAATTATCTAAATGGGAATATGATGGCTTCCATACCTCCAAGAATGTTTCAATCAGCAAAAAAAATTATTTGAAGTCAAAATAACAAAACAAAGAATATTTAAATTAAGAAATAGTTGAATGCAGTCGAAAACCCTAATCTCTGGACTGGGCCATTTTTTTTTATTTATTAAATGTCGATCAACAGAAAAAATAATTGATCACATGATTATCCACGAGTAATATTATTAAAAAATTAAATAATCAGGACGATTTTCATTTTATTATTTAT